ATCGAATTTCTGCAGTCTGTACCATGTGTTAAAAATATATTAACTTTTTAAATCGTCAATTCCCGCCAGCGGTCAAAAGCGTACTAGCCGCACTGTTTTCTCAAAAACCTGTCTATAGAACGAGCGGTACAATTTTAAGCTTGCGTTTGCTTGTGGCGCTACTGTCTTCTTGATTTTTAAAAATTTGTATCAGTTTTTTTAGTTCCACATTATTCCGTCTACTTTTTAAAGTATTTACAGTGCAAGGAGGTTGTATGCACGGTTTTGCCTTTACACACCAGTCGCTTTACTTTTGATAGAGGCGCTAGTATCTTTGTGGTCTGTTAAATTTGATACGTGTAGAGTGTAGTTCTAGTTTCTCCCGCTTTTCTGTGGTCACCAAGTTTCATATACCGTCTCGCTATCACGATTATTATAGCTCTAGTTCTTAAAAGCCGTATCGAAAGTTTGCAGTAGTAGAAAAAAATTATAATCGATTGAATAATGATGTATGTACCTGGAAAATCTACTTAGATAATTTATTACAAACTTTTTCAATGTCAAACAAAAGGAGCAACGATGGTTCGAGTTCATTTATGGTATACATAGATAGTTAATGTGCATCCAAACATAATTATTAAATAAATAAAGAGTATGACTATGGTTTCCAATATAAATATATCCATGTTTAAATAGTTTATCAATATTCGTATTCTATGTTCCAAATAGTGAGAAAACGAAAGACAACATCATTAGTGAGTAAGAAAAATACATTAAATTTTTGGATAAGTGCATTCTCCTTTATATCACTATAAAATAGTGATATTTCATTAGCATTTCGCTCACAGGCTAGGCAAGACAATGCTTTATTTTATTTTATGTGTATGGACGCTATTTTTATTAATAGTGGACTGATTTATATTAATATCTTTTATTTTCAAAAACTAAATACGGAGTATTTTAAAATTTTAATGTTAATTGGGGTAAAAAAAAATCATCGTAAATTTAAATCAAGTTCTTTACTATAATTATATTCTTTATTCTTCTTAATATTTCAAAAAACTAATTAAGACTTCAAAAAGAATAAATATTATAAATACAAGCATTTTTAAGAAGTCTGTTTAAGTTCTTTGAGTTTTTTTGACTCGTGCTCGATACCGATTCAATTCGCGCTTTATATTATTTCTTGCATGGTATTGTGTTTTGAATCACAGCCCTAACCCTTATTGAACACGAATTAATACATAGTTATATGGTTAAATCAAAAACTTCATAGATTAGGAAAGTAGCTACATCTGTTTTTTTTTAAGTTTATTTATAAAAATTCTATTCTATTCTTTTTTAATTTTAAGTACCATTTAAAGTCTCTACGTTTGCATTGGAAGAATGAGAAACCTCATTGGCATCATTATAATCCCATTTTGTCGCGAGACACATATGAATATATAAAGAGTTTAAGCCGGTTGTTATAATGTAAGCATTAGTTACTGGTTAAGAGTTTACTCCAAAGATTTGTTAAATAAAAAACAACATATCTGAATGTATTGATTTTGAAGTATTATTACTTTAACTTAGGATAAAACAACTGGGAGAATAAATAATAAGTATTTAATGAAATATTATTATTTTTGAATACCAAAGTGGAAAAAAATCAACGAGAGTAGGTATTTTCATTTGGAGTCCGCGCTCTAATCGAATTATACGACTGTAATTTTAACGAAATTTAGGTGTTTTTATAACTTTTTCTTTTAATTGTTGATTTTCTAGACGTGACTAGCCTATATAAAATATTACCTCGTGTGTTCATAAGTTTTAAAACAAACTTTTTACTGAAAATATAAAATGTTATTGGCTATTATTATTATTTTTTTGAATTTGGAATGTTAACATTTAGTTTATTTGTATCGCAAATTCATTTATTTATATTTTCTCGTGCTGGAGGGAACGAAAGAATGACGTGCAACTGTCACTAGCTATTTAAGGCGGGAAAAAAACCGATGCAGATTTCCCCGAGTTGAAAAGTTTTCCTGTACGTCGTAACTTTGTCTATTACACAATACAGTGGTACAATGAGACAAGCTCTCTGCAAGATCCCCAAAGGAGTGTTTGGCCATGCTCTGTGAGGACGCATGCGAACATCAAAATCATCCGAGAGCGACTTCGCCGAAATCCATGTTGTACTCAGAAGAAATTCGCTCTGTGAACAGAATACTGAAATATCTTAAGGTCCATAGCCGTAGAAAAGTTCACTTTTTAAACGATCGTTTTCGTAAGTAACGACGCGAACATTGTCCATTTCTACTGAGGAGACATGATGCCAGAAAGACACTCTTCACTGACGAGAAAATTTTTACTGTCGAAGAAAAGTTCAACCGACAATATAATAAAGTGTATGCTAAAAGTAGGAAGGATGTTCCAGCTTATGCATGGAATGTCCCGTGCGCTCATCATTCGGGTAGTGTGATGGTATGGTGCGGAACTTCGTATGAAGGTATCACTACGCTCCGTTTCTGCCAACAAGGTGTTATGGTGAAAGCCAAGAATTATCAGAGTGACATTTTAGAGCCGGTGGTGAAACCTCTGTCTGATACGTTATTTCACAATAGGGAGGGTTTTTCAGTAAGACTAAATAACTTCATCACGCTGATAAAAGAACTGTGCCCAGTATTGTAGGAGCGCTTACTCAAATATGCTGGGTTTTTTTTTTAATTCACAAGTAAAGTGTGAATAGATCTTCGTGTTCTAATAATCTGGTAGTCGAACGAATCGTTTTAATAATATTAAAACCGGGCGATTGAAACAAAATTAAGACTTTTACTTTTGTTGCTTTATTATTACGCTGATTCATCATTCAATGCTCAGCTTTCTGCATTGTATGAATACTAATTTGTGCATGCGAAATATTTCTTTGTCTAATAAAATAGCAAAGAACCGCCCCCACTTCACACGTTGCAGTTAGATGTTTCTTATACTCCCAGCCGCCACGTTTTTCCAATATTTTCATCAGTCATTGTCATATTTCAGTAAATTTTTATATATTTGAGGTTTTATATCTTCAATAATTAATGTCAAAACCTCCGTCACGATTTAACTCAGTCCATCGGTGAAAGCCTTATGAAACTGCATTTAGTAGTTTTGAAGTTGTCATGTACAACAAATGCGATCAAAAACTTTTTTAATTTATATTATATTTGAGGATATAAAAAAGTTCTGAATTCATATTTCAATATTATTTTTATATAAGTACAAAACACTAAAATACAATCGCTGTTACTAGATTTGACGGTATGTTTATTTACTGATTTATTTAATTTTAATGTTTAGTTTGTTTAATGATTTATTATATAATTTATGCAAAGCCAAAAATAAAATAATAGTATTTTATAATAATAAATAAATCGTTTTTTTTAAAGTTAATTAGGAAACAGTGACATTAGCGTTAAGTCCGCTTTTTGTACTATTTATTTACTGGCCAATAAAGTTTAATAAGTAAATAAATAGGTACTATTAATAATAGGAACGTCTCGATATTATCCGAAATTTCATTCTCAGAGTAAGCTCCGAAGTTAGGATTATTTATTATTCAATATGTTGTGTTGTAACCTTTTTAAATGTAAGTCTAATAGGTAATAAAGAATGCAATAAATCTGTACAAGTGCATCTTTTTGCCAAAGGGAAACGGAAACAAGATTTTACGATTTCAGTTATACTGAAACTGCTTGCGTTTCAACGTAGTTCAGCGTAGTTCTCAGCTTTAAATAGGGAATTATTTTCCAAATGTGAATAATTCAACGAAGGATATGATTAAGAATTATAAAAAAGTAAACATGTTATCATAATATAATCCTTTGTAATCTGTTAAAATGCTGTTTGTAGAATGTACCGTTGTCCAGTATGTGACGATCAAGTCGTGACGCGTGTATCCCGTTAAATAACCGGAGAGCAAATGGTGCTACTTTTTTAAATCGAGTATTCTTAACAAGGATATGTTTTATAATGATGTTCGATTTTTTAATATACTTCTTTTTTATAAAATAAGCTTACAAACCTAAATGGAGGTCGGATGCAAAAGTTTATAAATAACAGGTCATTTACTTTCAGAACGTAAATATTCGACGCCTCACCCAAAACTTATCAAAGCCACATCTCTTCTGCGTGACATCACACGGCGCGGAAATATTTTCTCTTTGAATACAGTCAATTAGTGCAAGCAGTAGTCTCTTTTAGGAACAAATATAACTATACCATTGGTTTTATAAATTTTAATATTCAAAATATTTTGTAACTTAATAAACTTATTGTAAGCACATTAAAATCGAACAATATTTATAGGAGAAACTGAAGATATTAAAAAAGACGTTACACAAAGGTATCCAGAAATTTAAATCGAAGTAAATATAAGATTATGTATGTTATAAATCAAGTGATAAATCAGGGTATTAAATTTGATAGACCGCACGTTATGAATAATAATAAGCTTTTTCGGGAGAAAAATAATTATAATTTGAACTTCCATATTTATCACATTTCTCTGACACTATCATATTTGCCATGTGGTGGTCGGGCAAAATGATAATTACCCAAAACAAAGGTACATCATACGGGCTAAGAGAAGGAGAACTAACAAGGGAGGACAACAATAAGGGTGTAGACAGTTTTTATAGATATACATAAAATATATCTAAAAATATATGTATGCTAGATGAGAACCCGGTTTCGCTCGGGTAAAATGTGATTCATAATACACATCTAGGTGCAAAATGTAGGTAGATTTAAAGGTATAAGCGAGACATAGATTCGTATAGCTTCGTTCTTGTGTTTAATAAATATAGTAAATAAAAACTGCAAAAGTTTTTACGCAAATTATATTAATTTTAAATCAACATTTAAAATAAAGGAATATAAATCAACAACACCAATTGCAATGAGTACTTATCCGAGAATTTGGCAAAGGTTCTTTGCCCAAAGACATATTCTCCATTATACATCACAGTTTATTTATCATAAAATTTCTCTATATATCACATTTTTGTTAAATATTTATCACCTGTCAAGCCTTGTTCAGTGGTATTGATAAAATTTTGAATTTTTAAATCATCGAATCTTCGAACTCGAGAAAGGGCAACATAGAGCTGGCCATAGGTGAACACAGGATTAGGTAAAAATATACCGACTTTGTCGAAAGTTTGTCCCTGGCTTTTGTTTATTATCATAGCGAATGCTAACTGAAGCCGAATAAATTTAAAAGGCAGTTGACTGTTAGATGGCTGGAGACGAATTCGAGGAATAAAAACTCTGGTTCCCACATGGCTACCACAAATGATTTCGGCATCAATGACACGTGAAGCCAACGCTCTAACAATAAGACGGATTCCGTTGCACAACCCAACAGTCGGGTTTAAATTTCTCAAAAGCATTATTATACAACCAACTTTTAATTTTAGAATGTGTGGTGGTAGTCCTGCAGGCGTTATAGAATTTAAGAATTCTACAGGATAGTTTAAAACATCATTACGATCTTCCTCAACCACAGCATCAGAACTCTCATAAATTTTAAGCAGGCCAGAAATTTTTTCGATTACTTGGTCGTTTAATTGAGAACAATCATCGTTTTTGGGAGTAAGGATAACTTTCCTTGAATAACTTTTATAATCATTCATGTTAAGGGAAGCACCAAAAATATGGTCCAAAATTGAATTATCTACAATGCATCGCTGAGGCAGTTCAATGTGGTCGTTTACATCTTCATTAGCTGATCCATCGCCTACCTTTAATACCCATTGAGAAAACTCTAAATCATCGTCAGCTCTCATATTATGAGTCAATTGGAGTTGAGTAAAGTTTGGCCACATTGAAAAGTGCTTAATTGAAGCTTTTATAATATCATTTCGTGACCCGTTAACTACAACAGGTAAAATCTGACGAAAATCTCTTGCGAATAACAATGTTTTGCCTCCAAAAGGTAATTTATTTTTCATTGTTTCTTGAAGGATTTGATCAACTACAACAATATCATGACATTTAGTCATAGGTGCTTCATCCCAAATGATTGAATGAGTTTCCTTCAATAACTTAGCTGCTGGTGACCCTAACGACATATGAAACGTAGAATCTACATCTGAATTAATTGGAATTTTAAATCGCGAGTGAGCTGTTCTACCACCATCTAACAGAGTTGCTGCAATACCAGAAAACGCTATGGGTAGGCATATTTTTTTTTGAGATCTTAAAATGTGTAAAATAATTGTAAATACAAATGTTTTTTCAGTTCCTCCTGGGCCGTCAAGATAAAAACAGATTTCTATCTGTGGGATTATTCACAGCGTTTAGTATTGTATCGACTACATATTTTTGTTCGGTGTTCAATTTTTGGTCTTCTTCTTTTATTAATGGCTTATCTGCGCATTTCGCACAATTCTGCCAATGTCAAGTGAATAAATAAATTTCTACATGTAAAAAGAAAATGAAATGAATGAAAGATGGCGATGATCGCGTTAGTAGAAAATTGGTCAAATATAGGAATTTACAATATAGACAGCCAACTAGTGATGTACTCAGCCCGGGGCTGGGGAATCAACAGGGACTAATGGGTAAATCTTCTTTATTTTTAAATATTTTATTTTATATTATTTTATGATGATCTATGTACTAGAAACAAAAGTAGGCATTACAATATCATAATTAAGAAAATTCTCAGAAAGTTTGCTAACTTCGACGTTGTAACACGACAAAAAATCTACTGGATATTTTAGACAATCTTATACATATATGTATTTCACTACAGTCAACACATGGCGTCAACGATTCTTTCACGTTTTGAAAGAAAAAAATCTTTATAATACATCTTCATAGACATAAGTACATCATCGTGAACATTAACGAAACCTTTTGACAGTTGAAACGAATGAAACCATTTCACTTTATTTCAATACTATAGATGAACTATTTTTTTACTACAAAATATCTCTAATTTCTGATTATCATGTCTACACTATGATCGAAATTTCACTGGCCCGGCGCCGCAGTATTGGCGCCGTATATTCGACAAATAACGCATAATTTGTTTCGACGGCTAAATTGACTTATGAATCAAATCTTAAGCTTATTATTAATGACGTTGATATAAGAGCCTAACACGTTATTCTTATTATGGAATGAGACAGTTCATAAACTAGTTTCTGTCTGTGACTTTGTCTGCGTCTAAGAATATGTCATTTATGTAACAAGAATTAACATTCATGCTTGTTTACCCGTAAAAGTTATTTTTTTTATACACAGGGGAACTCTTTTTTTACACAGGGAAAATGCGTTACTCATAAGCCCTGCCGCTTGACAGGACGGCGGACGACCACTGAGTAGGTTAAAGGGCGGAGGTCTACCGACTAAAACTTTGGCCATGTCGTCATGTGGGTGGCACCCGGAAATCCGAGCGTAGACCCCAGGCCAACCACTTCCAGTATAAGGGGACCTCTCTGATCCCCAACTGGTTGGGAGAGACTTAGAGCATCAATAGAAGCAGGGCTTGCTGTAGTCAAGAGGGGTTCCGTCTTGTAAATGACGGACCTTGAGAATCCTTCCTTTCGTATAATGTTTTTTTCCTAATATTCTTTGGCATACCCTTTTTGGCATAATTGTTTTTAGCGAAATATCATCAACCTTCTTTATGGATGGTTAAGGAGCGAAATAATATTTTATTATTATATTTTGGCATAAAGTTTATATTGGCATAACTGTCTTTTAAATTATTCACTAAAGTTGTGAACATCAAGGTAGCACACAAACGAGTTTGAGGCTTTTATGTATGTCAATAAATAATGACAGTTAGTGATACATAGTATATAATTACTGACACTATAAAATTAAGAAATATTGGAAGATCTTAGTGTGTTGGCTAACTATACGTCAAGGTAGCAGGCACACTAAAAATACGAGTCATATTAGTTTGAATTACATGTCCAAAAATTGTGACCAATTAGTGACGTCTATACCACGAATTTTCATTTCAATCACTTCAATAGAATTTGAGATATTTCTGATTATTGGTGTATCTCTAACTATACGTTTAGTTAGCAGGTACACTAAGATCTTCCAATATCTCCTTATTTACAGTGTTACTAATTAATGCTATTGATCATTAACTGTCATTATTTACTCACAATCGATTGACATACATCATCACCAGCCCTTTTACGTCCCCACTGCAGGGGCTCAGGCCTTCCTTATGGATGGTTAAGGAGGATGGGCCATGACCCTCCACGCTGGCCCAATGCGGATTGGAGGGTATTATCGACTGCAAATGCAGCCGGGACCAACGGCTTAACGTGCCTTCCGAAGCACGGAGTAGCTCGAATAAAAATTTTTTGGTCACCCATCCCGTGACCGACCCTTGCGAAAGTTGCTTAACGACTACGATCGCGGTCCGCGGCGCTTATCCACTACGCCACCGAGCTTGACATACATAAGACTCTCGAACTCGTTGATGCGCCTGCTACTAAAAAGTTCACCTAAAATTATGCGTCAGCTGTTATGCTTCAATATCATTGTAATATTTATGCAAATAAACACCGGACCACATTGTATTTACATATTTGCATAGGAGACGATTGAATTTTTGTAATTAGTCTTATAATCGTTTCTACAGTCGAGAGAAGCAATTACTTGAGAATGTGTCATAATTTAAGCAGATATTTTAACCGATAGACGACATTTTGAACTCGAAGTACGAATTATTAATACTTAATAATAGAGTATTCTGACTATTAACAGTTCTTACTTAATTGAAATTCTTATTTAATTGGTAAAAATATCCGCTTAACTAAAGACATATTCTTAACTGTAATATATAACGTGTGTAATTGTATTTTTTCGCTGTTATAAGGGACTAGTTTTACTCACTCGATCATTTATTGGTTTTGTATTGTATTCGCTATGGTGAAATACTTGTTTTTCTCACTAGATTCGTTCTTAGAGAAACCTTATGGGATTATTTATGGGATTTATACAATGTACTTATTAAGTTTCCCAAATATCGAGGTTTTAAATTAAGGTTCTGTAGGTTTTATAATTATAATGTTTATGCACAAAAGTCACAGGCTGATACTAATCAGCTTGTATTTAGAACTCAAATAGAGGGCTTATACAAAAGACATCAATGGGTCATTAAAAATAAATTTGAAAGCTTTAATCTTGATATTTTAATGACAATATGATTGCGATTTCAGTTTCCATTAGCAAGTATATATGACTAAGATTTGGAGCTAGAATCAAGTAATGAATGAAACTGAAAGTGTCTGTTTATATTTAGCCTTAAAACATGGTTCATATAAAAGATATCAACGAGTCATTAAAATAGAATTTGATTGTTTTTTTAATGATATTATAATTTCAATTCCTGAATACATATAATTTATACTGTATTTTAGTATGTTATAGTACTGAGGTATACATTACTCAGTATCAGCGATCAGGTGCACTTAGTGGTGGCACGACAATGTAAAGTACGAATAATCGTAATACAAATTAAAGTTGCTTTCTAACAGTTTTAAATTAGCAAAATAATAAATTCTCAATAAAAAAAAGAAGTCTTAACTTCTCCGATTGCACAATCGTAAAACGCGGCGACTCAGCAGATATCAGATTTTGGTGTTAAAATAAGCTCCGAAAAGGAGTTTCGTAATTGTTGAAAGTTAATTTATTACTAAATTATTAGTAGTTACTTCACAAACAAATACTCAGACTTTCATTTAATGGAACATTCACAAGTTTGTTTCGTCCCGTGTATCTGACCTTCGCACTAAGTACTGACTGACATAATCCTTAGTTCTTCAACATACTGAAATATCAAGCTTTAGAAAGCTCTTATATATTTTGTCTCGAGCTCTCCGTCTATTAGAATTAAATTTAGAAATAAGCTATAAGTGCAACTTGAGCCCATCTATACATGTTAACATATTCCAGACTCATACAAAAGACATCAACGCAAGTACTCAACACTTAAAGTATACTTGTCAATTTTTCTGACGTCAGTTATAATTAAATATATAAATGTAAAGAGTAGCAAGATATTTTTTTCATAGATATATATAATTACGTTCACACACATGCGTACTTTATTGTAAACAGATTGAGGTTTTAAATCGATAGGAAGTATTTGGTTTACTGGCGTACATATAGTAATCGTGATACTAGTGTTTACATGTAGAGATTTTAATTTTCATGTGCTCAGTTAGCAGATTGCTGGTATTTATCAATGAAATTAATGCGTCCATACATTATCTTTGTTTCAGATTTAAAAACCTAAAACTTTAAAAAATATGATTTGTAGAGTACTAAAACAACGAAAAATCGCCATCTAGTGGATACTTGAGTAATCAATGGAAAACTTAAGTGAAAGGCTATAGCTTGCTTATTTGACTAGTACGCCACTAAAATTACACCAGCTTGTATAGATGGCGCGTGGGCAGGCATCTAGGCATAAGCTCATAAACTTAGAAGATGGTATAAAAGAAATACTGCGTGGCTATAAGTGGAAATGCAACTCTATTATATATTTTTTTTATTTTTTTTTTATTTTATTTTTTTTTTATTTATATATTTATAAATATAAATACGGTATATTTCAAACTTCAGCTCAAACGGACACTGTTAATTGATTGAAATTTGTGTGGAGGGGTGTGGACCCGTCCAAAGGCTAGTCAAAATGCTAATCCAGCAAGGAGTGCTACATTTACCCCAACCTCAATTACTTTCTACGCTAACTTTATAGCTCAATACGTCTTCCAAGAATAGTTCCTTCTTATAGCAGCGTTAGGATGAGAGTGCTTTGAGAATAGCATGCATTCTTTCATACCATTTTACTTGTATTTCTTTCCACTGAACTAATATTGAATATATCTGCTTGAGTTCGATATCAATGCTTAACGCGTTTGGTTTGCTATACAGTTATTAGACAAATTTCGCAAAGCTGGTCATAGGATGGTTAATCAAAAATATATTATCTCGAGCTATTCCGAGTTTCAGAAGGTACGTTCAGTTATTGGTCCCGATTGCATTTACAGTCGATAATGCCCATAGAAAAGCCTGACCCTCAGCAGTAGGGACGTTAATATGCTGGTGATGGTGATGATGATATCTGCCAGTATTATCCATCATCAAGACTTTGGTTGCTTAGTGATTATGGCGCTTCAATCCGAAATATCGGGAACTCAATAAATAATAATTACTATACCAACTAAGGAATAATAATATTTTTCCTCCCGTACTTTATAATTCAACTGCGAGTCGAAAAATATATATGCAAATAATAACTAACGTTATTGTATCCAGTAGAAACCTTAGCATATATATTCCTCTTTCTTTTATCATTTTTTTTAGTCCAATAAAGAGTAATCATTCATTCATTTAAAATGTATATGGTAGCATTCGTGTAGTTCACTCATATTCTAATATTTATTGATCATGAATGTTTAAAATTATTAATTTAAAAATTTTTATTGCTTTTTTTCGAGTTTCATTGTCAGTGGTTATTGACGAAATAGAAACAACATGATTAAATCATATTAATAGAAGCATTTCTTTACGCCAAAATTAGCTTTTAATTAGTTACAAATTGGGGAAGATTACTTCTAATAATTATTTTGTTAAATAAAAATGCAGCGTAAAAACAAAAAAGAGTAGGAAATACGGATCACTGGTCTCCGCATTATTAAAATCGATATTCAGTATTAATGAGTTGTCTCTTTAAAGATTCGAATAAATATTTTAAAGGTCACAGTAATAAGGGACGAAATTAATTTAATAATAGCTGTATACAACTATGAAGACTTAAGTAAAGGAACTACTGAATCATGAGGACCTTTCCAAATTTTAAGATATTATTCGTTATGTGAACATTTACACATTACGCACACTTTAACGATATAACTTTAAAAATATCAAACTCAAAATATGTTTATCCAAATAAACATTTTTTTTCTGTATCATTCATTCAGAACTTAATTTGGCTGATAAGAAGAACGAGCAACAAACCCACCAGCTCTTATGGGAGTAACGACATTTACAAAAACCATGTTGTTACCAGTTCATTACGTTATAAATATTTACTTTACTTTACAATATGAACATAATAGAAAAAAAAAATCAGATCTTACAGTGATTAATATGAGCACGACTTTGGAAACAAAGTCTGTGTGTAGCAAGGTAGTGATTTTTTTATATATCATAATATCGGGTTCATAAAATTAAGAGCGTTAAGTCCACCACTTCAACTTCATTCAACTTCAATATAAATACTCGGACGTGTTGCATAAATAAATAACAAAAAAAAATATATTTTGCACACACAAAATATACTTCCTAATTCCTCTGCTACATAATCAGTCTTATCTAACTGTCTTATTGGAAACACAATAGGTAGAGTTCTTTATGTAATATTTCTTTTTCACACAATATGTAACTAGCAATCTTATTTAGAGTTCCGTACCTCGAAATACATAAACTGAACTTTTATCATAATAACACAGTATATGTAGACATTAGCTGAGACAGGGTTCCAATTTGCCTTCATATACACACACTTATAATGTTTTAGCTATTAATTTTTCTTTGTCATTCTTTTTTATGGTTCTATTTGTAATGTGACGTGCGAATACTAATAAATTCTTCTTATTTTTATCATACTTCATATTATGTCAGTTGAACCTATCTAAATGCATATATATTGTTTCCATTCGTACTATGCTTTTAAGGTTAACAAACACATTATCTGAGAAATATACTTATAGATTTATAAAATTCAATTTCATTAAGTCATTAAAAAATCACTATAATGCATTATTATAAAATCGTTTATGGAGTAAAATAAATTATTCTGAAGATCTGAGGACAATCATCATCAGCCTACTAATGTAGTCTCCTTGGGTTCTTGGGTACAAGCATGGAGGAACTCGAGATAATAATTTTTTGGTCACCCATCCCATGACCGGTCTATGCGAAAGTTGCTTCCACATCGCTGACTGAACGTGTTTAATGACTTAATTCGAATATATATGAAGTCGATGATTTATGGTACATAATATTTGTAGGGAACCCTTGGTATACAATGCGAAGTCTCTTTGGGTCGCTATTTTTTAAATATAGGTATTAAACTCGTAGTACTTTTATTCATTTAATATGGATCTCTACAACAAAAACACTATTACGATGACCGGATAGTGTTCGCCGTTCGATATAAATTATTATCCACTTACAGCAAAAAAGGAGGGTTATGAATTTGATATTACGTATGTAGTTATAGGTACATGTCCATCTGTTGTCTTCTGATTTCTGCTTTTAATCAAAATTTTATCAATAGAAGCACCTTGATCGCCCGCTTATAAATACATTGTTACGTCATATGAAATTGTATTCGGCAACCTATAGATGACACAAACTAAAAATTACAACAACAAAATCTTTAAATTAAAACTTAAAAAAAAAAAATAGTAATAATAATAATAATAATAATAATCAAAATTAGGTTCGAAAGGTAAATTTGGAGTGAGAATAGGTATTTTTCTGAGTTTTTTCACAAGTCGATCTTCTTATATTCCTGAGAAATTACAAATATAACAAATTCCGTTAAATATTTGATATTCACAGTTTGTGGAAATTATTTTGTCAATTTTTTCTATGGATTTTATGATTGGAGCAAATTATGGCCTTTATTTTTATTATAAGATTTTTGTAATAAGTTTTGATTTTATAGATTAAGTCCAATCTTATCTAATAAATTTGTATTATAATAAGCTATATTGATACAACAATCGATGCTATAATAAGTTACTTATGTAGGTTTTATTAGTATTTCCTGTAATATCAACGAAAAATTCTTTAATAATAGTATATCAAAATTAAAAATTCTAAATATGTTGAACAAAACGAAAAGTGACAAACTTTTTGAAATATTCTTGCGAAAAAAATTGACGCTTTATTAAAAAGCTTCACTAAAGAGGCGTTGTTATCACATAATTTGTTTATCCGATTGTCAGCGACGTCACTGTGTTACGTAAAAGTTAACTGCCATGCAGTTTTACATAACCTCTGCTAACGCAGTGGGGAATCCATCCAGCCAGTCCGCGTCAAGACGGCACAGCTATCGCGCGCGTCGTAACCCAAAAATGTGCACGGCTCGTCTTTGAGGAGAGAGAGGGAAAAGACAAAACATAAACGAACGATGTTCTAATATCGAAATAGCGCGGGAAATTTTTAGTACAACAACTTTTCCGTAGTAAAATGAAAGTGAAATCGGTGCACTGACCGTCGCAATATGTTCAGCGAAAACAAGTGGAAAGTGATTTTGCTCGTCGCGGCGTCCGCCGCCGCGGTCGAGCCGACCCGCGCACTCAGCCTAGTCTACCAGAAACCTTATAGGAACATCATGTTCGTGCCCAGGTACAGGAGGCGTGGTAGACAATCCCGGGTGCTATTTTTAGACGACGCCGAAAACCATCAAAACTACGGGAAAGGGGAGATCGATTTGACGCTAAATTCGAAAGTTAAATTCGATGATAGCACCGATTATGAGTTCACTTCCCCCGAAATCGAGTCGACCACGAAGACGGAAGATTTGCCTTCTGGTAATGAGAGATTTTACGAGCCCATACCACGTTTTAGACAGTTTCAGCCACCTCAGTACTATCAAGGGAGGTATGGGCGGCCTTATGCTCCAAATTTTGGATTCGACCCATATCAGACTGTCGCACCGTTCGCTCCAGCGCTTCGGAACAGCTTTTATGGCGGTTACAACGGGTGGAAGGCGAGAAGTCCTCGAGTGGTATTTCCTTACGCGTCGGATAGTGTTAATTCCCTTGTGCACACGAACTCTCACGGAGGACCCGGGTTTGATAATGTGGTATTCCGTGAACAAAACTTCGCCAATGAAGTCGGAACCGATGAGCAGAGTCTACAGGATATAAATGGAGGAAGCGATGCCTTCACGGAGAGAGGTGAGTGGTTAGAAAGGAGGTTATAGCGTGGTGTCGACGTACGTTCCTTTTAAGCTATATGAATCGAACGAGAAGCGACTCGTTTCTGTTGTTAAAAGAGAAATGAAAACTAAAAAGTGTTTAGTACTAGATATTAATAAAAAATTGAAATCTTAATAAAAGTATGTATTCATATTATGAAAACATTAAATAGCTTTATTTAAGATTTAAGATTATTTAAGCTCTCTTTATTTATGAATCAATGTGTTTCGCAAGTTATACATATATGCATAACTATTTTTTAATGTAACAATGAATTTGATTATGCAGTGCATGGGTTAGGATTTTCAAGAATTTGGGGTTATTTATGTGGATGCACATACACGTAAATTTTACAACTAAGCTTTCTCTTAAGAACTGGGCTCTCGTAAGAGTTCAAAAGGTAAACTACGTAATTTTATGATTGCTTAATACGTTCATACATTAAAATTAATATTTTAAGTCAGTATATGAAATTGTTTAACATTTCAATTGTCTAAAGAATTTAAAGTTTTTTTAGTAAACAGAAATGAGTTTTGATTTCGATTTGATTTAAATTATTCGTTTTTTATACATTTGTTTTCAGATATTTAAACTAAAGGTTTTGAAATTTATAAAAATCTATTTTGTTTAATTGATTCACATATTATTTTGTTGCCTTTAAATCAAAACACTAACAACATATGTTTACATTGATTTCACTATCATAAGAAAATTGTTTGAGAATAATTATATTTTGTTACGTCTGTGAATCAAACCCAACACAATATGCGAACTATTCACCCACGTTATTATCATCTATAAATAAGATCGTCGGATTCATAATTAATTAACAAGTTTCACGGTTCGATATTACGAAATTAGAAATAAAATTAATCTCTTAAACAAAATGCTGAATCGATTATCCACGCAAATGCCAGTCTCGTTTTAATCGTTATCTGAATGAATTAAATAGTTTATAAAAGAAAAAAAAATAAGTTTTCAATTAAAATATATTATTACTTTAAACTTAAACTGTGTTTATGGAGATTAAGTGAAGCTAATCGCTGAATTAGCCTTTAATGTCAATAAATATTATTTAAAAAAAAAAACAAAAACTAAAACCCGACTACAGCTACATTTTTTTATATTATATTTTTAGTTCCGTACTTTATATTCTCTAGAAGGCGCTGTTGCCAATTTAATGTAACTTTACATAGCCTATAGCACGCGTACAACTAAGACGCTTCTTATTGTAACGCATTTGTCTAGTTACGATGAGTAGTTTCGAAGTTATAAAGGAACAGATGAATATTCTTACATACATACATACCGGTCAGAATCATAACCCTCCTTTTCAATTTACTGTAGTCGGGTAAAAATTTAATTCTGAACTAACTCCACCAGCGGCTTTGCCCGAGTGGTTATACATTTAAATATACCTCTTGAATCACTCTTAATATTGATTAAAATCCATTATGTAGCTTAAAAGATCTCAGCGCATAGACAGCAGGAAGCGACTTTGTTTTTATTATGTAAAGATTCTATTCAATGAAACAAATAAACAATTCTTCTTTACAGTCTTTATATTGTTAGCATAGTTAACAAAATAATATTTTGTGACATAATAATTAAGCTATCACACGCCATTGGCGCTTGGCTGCACTCAAGCGCACAGAACACAATTATGCTCAAGCGTCTCCAGACATAATCTTGACAATCAATTAAACAATAATGAAAAGAGTGATTGGTTATAGTTCGTTTGTTTTTTTTTTTAATATGTTGATAGAAGGAATCCTCCTTATATAGGCGTAAGTGCAGTCAATGTTATATTTCTTTTCAATCGCCAAAAACATTTTAAATCTTTAGATGCATCTTGGAGGTGATTCCTTATTGAGTGATAACGAGTTTGGACTTGAACCACAAGAACAGTTATAATTTTATTACGAAAGACCACACATTATGCAGCCTTTTTGACAAGAAAACGACTATAAACATTTTAAATGATGGTGATCATATTATAGGTCTCTGTTCGTACCAAAAATTCAAAGTTAATACATTCTCCAGTCAAAGCACTTTTGAATTGTCTGAATTTTTATCTATAATCCGTTCAGTCTCTGTTAAAGATGCCGTTCATGTTTTTTAAAAGTTTAATTACGAATAATGAAAATGCCGGAAGTATATAAAAAGAACGGCAAAGGAAATAAGTTTCACATCCAAGTTCAATATATTTTTTAAAATTTTATATAGTTTAAATACGAACTAATTACTCTCATTGAATAATATAATAATATCTTTTGAATCTGTTGTTTTATATTGAACATTTGCATACAGCATGAACAGCAGTGAAAATTGCGTGTAAGTTGTTATTAACAATTGTTGGGTAATAAGTATTATTGCGTTATAAGTATTACATGTTATAGTTACATATGTAAATATTGTATTCCAGCAGGCAAGACTTACATTATAGACAAGTTGATTTTTAAAGGGGCTTTTTTATTTATTGATGAATAATAATTACATATCAATCGTATCACTTAGTGCAGTAAAAACCAGAAGGAATTGTCCATGCACTACTTTAACAACATATTTATATTAACAACTATAAAACCACAGTTTGCTCATGGATAAGTTAGATTATTGGGTATAAAAATTACTGTTTACACAATAAGAAAGTTCAATAAAAACACGTAAATATTCTATTAACCTATGTAAGAAAAGGAAACAATCGGGTATCTATAAAATACTTCGGATTAGCGTACGACCGAACGGGTAACTCAACGCTGCCGCTAAACAACTCAACGCTGGCTATATCGCTCCAATCAGTGAGGTTGAAGTAGTTTATTGAACCCGTTAAAGCAATAATAACGTAAAATATATTTAATATAGTAGAGGTTAAAAAAGATAAATTTTATTGTTCAAAATCATAATAATACAAACTCGGTAGTGTTAAAAAAAACTAAAAATGATCTTTTTTGTTAGCTTTTTTTCGTAGCTTTCGTTGTGTACTCCATAATACAGGGGCTTAAGCTACTCATCTTGGAATCTGAGCAATTTATTTGCTGTCCAATTTATATTTATTTATTGAAATTGATAACCTTATACTTTTTTGAAAATGGACTGATGTTTGAAGATGGTGACTTTGTTATACTGCTATTTCGTTTGATTTTACAACTTTGACATTCATTTTAATAACAACAAATTAATGATAAAAAATGATGAAAATGGATTTGACAGCAGTGGTGGAACCATAGTATTTTATCCCAAAATCCACCAAAATACATATCAAAGTAGTAAAATCAAACGAAATATCTTCATAATATTCTCTAAGATGTTGTATCCTAAGGCTAGTGTTACAGGTAGTTAGGCTGTCATCCCTTATTTCTGATTATTTGAGTCCATTCATAGTGAAGGTGCTCCAGCAGTGGAGCCTGGGGACATTAGTTGGTTGATAATGAATATTAAGAGTCGGGTATTTATTGGAAAAAAAAAAAAACGTTTCGAAGACGTCACACAACAATGCAACTTTTACGTGATTGTATGGTAATAGCGTTCACGGAGGCGCACGCGCACGCGATTTCACGCACTCACGTTATTCGTTAAAAACGGGACAAGGTTTATTTCCGTCAGTAAAAGGAGAGAGAGAAAAATTTAGAAGCGCTTAACTTCTTTATATATTATGTATATACAAAAATGTGGAGGAGTCCGTTGGCGCAGTGGTTAGTACGCTCCGTCTGCAAAACATTTGTTAAGCAACTTTCGCAAAGGCCGGTCATAGGATGGGTGACCAAAAATTTATTATCCATAATTACTCAGTTTTCCGTAAGTTACAGTTGGTCCCGGCTGAATCCGCAGTCGTTACCGACCCACCAATCTAAAATGTGCCTGCGTGGTTGGTCATGACGAAATTGTAATCATCTAAATTCTAAAGAGTTGGTTCTCAAATTTGTAGGTGTTATTTTTTTTTATAAATGAGCAATAATCAATTTTCGTGATATATTTCTTCTTTTTAACTGATTTTAAAATCGAAAAGGACGTGTTCGACGGCGATGTATGTTTTTTTACGTATTTTCGTTAAATAGTTGACCGATTTACAACATTTTTTTATTCGGCTGCTTGATGGATCGAGGTTGTCCCATTAAAATTTTATCGAAATCAAATAATATAACAAAGTATCACCTAAATATTAACAGCTTTACTTATAAACGTCCATTAAAGTTAAAACGTATCTTAGCAATGTCTTAAATAGCTGTCAAATTAAGTAGCTTCGCACCCTTGTTTAAGCGCTTAATAGGGTGTTAATTACCATAATGGCGGATCTCTGACAGCTGATCACCTAGCAACCGTACCTATTTATTTTTGTTTATGGTCAAGACATCTGGATTTATTTTAATTTGTAACATGTATTGGATTATTAAAAAGAATGTTTTTGAAACCGATAATAATGAACGCGTACCAATATTCATAACACAAGCCTATAATGATGCTTAGTTTAGCTTCGATTAGCTATGGGAAGTTTTATATATGAACAAGCTGTTTTCCGTCGGTTTCTCCTGCCTAAATTATAGCTTATATCACACGTTTATTCGGAGAATTTATTTCTAAAATCGGTCTAGTTACTAGACTCTAGTAGTAAGTATCGGTGCCTATGCAATGTAAAGAAACTGATCTTTTTTCTCTTTATAATATTAGTATAGCACTCCAGTTTCTTTGGTACCTAAAGCTGATTCAATAATTATTTAGAATCCCCTTTCAGGAACAAAAATGAAGACATGGGATAAAATATAGGACTCCAATAATTTAACGTTACCTGAAGTATATTTATTCTTGTCATGATTCTGGCATGTAACTGAATAAATACAGTGGTATTATTATAAGAAACCTTTTTTTTTCATACTAGTTGGTAGCTCGCATCCTTTTTTATTTTCCATTAAAATATCTTAAGAAATTTTTATTCGAGCGCCTATCATTTAATTAATAACCTACAGAAAACCTCCACCCGACTTCAATGGCGTTTTCTCAACGAAAT